GCCCGGTGCTCGTGATGGCTGGTCCGGGCACGCGCCCGGTGCTTGTGATGGCTGATACGGGCCCGCGCCCTTTGCTCATGATGGCTGGTCCGGGCAAGCGCCCGGTGCTCGTGATGTCTGATACGGGCCCGCGCCCGTTGCTCGTGATGGCTGGTCCGGGCAAGCGCCCGTTTCTCGTGATGTCCGATACGAGCCTGCGCCCGTTGCTCGTGATGGCTGGTCCGGGTCTCGTGATGACTAGGATCCCTAGTCTCCATCTCCAGCCTCTGAGTCCCGGACTGGGTTAGGGCATAGGATAAATATGGTTAAATAATGGCTTTTAAGGTTATAAGGTTCATTTATCAGCCACATCTATTTTTATGATTTGGCTATCTTCAGGTTGGGTTATGGCACTGCTTTGGTTCAGTTCTGGCTAAAATGATGTGGATCATTGTGACCCCCCACCCCCCAGTGAAGAACTGTAGCATGAATGTTTATTGGCTAATCATACCGACAGGAAGAGGTTTTTAGCTTCCTATCCACACACACACACACACACACACACACACACACACTTCTTCATCATTCACACGTCTTGCTCTCATGGCAGCACCAAGGAAATATGTATACATGATGAAACCTGCAGGTATCACATTTCTTTATAAATGGTCTATATGTAAAATGAAATGTAAATATCAGATGCACTAAAAGATGAGTTTATTTTAATCATCAATGTCTTTAATAGCTCTATGAGCTGCATCAGTGAGTTGTTTCACTTTCACTTTGTCACAGAACCCTATGAGAAGCTAATATGTGTGTAAAAGACTGTGTGTTTTATATTATTGACTGCCCCATGTGTAACAAACAGAGTTAGGATTTTATTTAGTTTTATTGTGAATTCTTATGAATTCTGCAGGGTTGATTTCATGTTGTACTGGTGCCCTCATGTGGTTTGTGTGAGAACTGCAGGCAGATAAAATGTTCGGTAAGACAGGAGATGACGCAACACAGCACAGCAGTTGCAATGTGTACTGCACGCTGTGGGTGGGTATGCTTATGCTCCGTCTCAATTTAGTTATATATATTCGATTATAAGGCAAAATAAGTTGAGTTTTCAAGTATTTGATGTTTATGATTTAGTTAGGGTAATATTTTGACCATTTAATTTGACTATTAACATATATTTTATAAGTTATTTGGCCGTTTGTGAACTCTCGTTAGCAAGGCCACAATGATAATTTTATTTTACATTTTATTTAGGTCACTTATGCCTGCAGCAAAATAACCACTAAAGGGGTGATTTATTTCATTTTACAGGTATGTCTTCTTATGTTTTTGTTTGTTATTACTATTGTTATATGTAAAATGTGGTCGTGTGTTGCGATGTTGTTAATACTGTTATGACGCAACACAGCAGCAGTTGCAATGTGTACGACACGCTGTGGGTCACTTATGCCTGCAGCAAAATAACCACTAAAGGGGTGATTTATTTCATTTTACAGCCTGCAGTAAAGAAAAGAAAGATTCATACCAGCCAGCATTGTGTCCGAGCCTTTATTGGAGGGGGGTTCGGACAAAGATTGAGTCCGTTGTACAGAGTGGTGTCTTATCGGATCTCAGTGGTGTCCGTCCAAGTCACATCGTAGAGTGGAGGAGAAAGACCACATCCGTCGCACATGTACCAAAGTGATCATTTTCGAGTTTGACATTCGATAATATATCGATAATAAATCATGAGAGGTTAGTCTTGATTGGCAGCGCTGTAGAATCAGCTCACGATCCGAACAGAGTCATCAATAATGCGCGGGACTCGAGGACGCGGCCAAAACCTGCGTTTCTCCAAAGCATCGCAAGCTTAAGTAGATCGTAAAAACGATCGTACGACTGATCTTAGTATAACGGTCTGTTTCCCAAAAGCATCGTAACTTCAGTAGCGCTTGAAAATCATTGCAGATCTACTAGTGCTCAGGAGCAATGGTAAAGCCAGTGTTATGCCAAATAATTTTCAGGGGAAGTTGCTAAAGGAAGGTCGATTTGTTGCTAAAAGTTGCTGAAAGATGTTGTGATGTCATTGCGCGATGACGTCATTACGTAATCACGATGCAAAATTGTGTAAATATATACATATATATGAAAAAAAAAAAAAAATTATGTTAATTTAGATTTGTTCGTAAAATAATTAAATTCATAATATAATATTAAAATAGAAATAACTATTTTTAAACACAACATTGAATTATTGAACACTTACACATTTGTGAACGATTGCAATTTAAGTTTTTATTAGCTAGTAAACTAGTAAAACTACACATTCTGAGCAGTTCTAGTTTTAAAGGGGTCCTATTATGCTCTTTTACAAAGTCTTGATTTTGTTTTGGGGGTGTACTAGAACATGCTCTCATGCTTGGTGGTTCGAAAAACGCATTATTTTTCACATAATTTACATGATTAAAATACCTTTCTCCCATCCTGGCACAAACGGCTCGATTAGTTCCGGCTTTGATGAAGGTCCGCCTTCCGAAAAACAAAATGTGTTGTGATTGGTTAGCTGCCCCAGTGCGTTGTGATTGGCGAACAGCTTAGACGGTGTTTCAGTACTGCCACGCCCCTTGCTCCGTCTGCTAAATTTGTTGCTAGGTGCTTCTGGAAGAAAAAGTTATGAGAGTTATGCAGAGTTATGAGGCAGATTGCACCTTTAACTTTATTCATTTATGATTGTACTTCTCTTTATTACTCTTTTATTGGTTAAATGAATTTAAAAATGAAATAATTAAAAAGAAAAGGAAAGAAAAGAAAATGAAAATATACATAAATATGAACAGTGCTGATAAAACATGTCGGCAATAAACTTTTTTTGTCTGTACCTGTAGAAATGTATTGGCTAGATGAAGTATACAAATGTGTGCTACTATCACCCTTAATATGTACACTTTATATATTAATACTATCTAAACCTACATGTTTATGTTTGAAAATGACCATCAAGCATTAGTCATTGACTTCAGAAACACTTGGAAGAGCTCATTAGACTGACTCAGGCTCAGCTTGAGGCATACTCCTCCGTGGAGGTTAATGCAATCATTGGTCCAACCATCTGGTTTTTAATTGCCATTTTCTGCAGTGCCCTTCCTTTTTGCCAGGCTTGCAAAGTCCTGCCACTTCTTGCGGACCTCCTTCCCTGATCTCTGTTAATTCTGTAGCAAAGTCCTCCCATATGTTTTGTTTTTCTTTATTTGTGTGGTGTCCTTTAAATCTGCTGAAAACATCTGACATCTCCACCTCCTCCAGAAGAACATTAATTTCATCTTGTTGAAAGGTATTTTATTTCTAATCCAGGTCAGGTGACGACTATCAGGTTCAAGGATACGGTTCTTCTATAAGGTAAGATTTCAGCACTTGACAAACTCTGAAGTAGCATGTAGAAAGTGTTTTCGCTTGTTCGTGTGTAGTGCATTTTTGGGAAACGCACGTGGAGTTGGGGCGAGCGTTCGTAACCTTGCGCGTAGAGAGCGCTCTTAAGAGCTAAGATCCATCGCTATCTGGAAACGCAGCCCTGATCAGTTTCATCTATAAATAGACTGCTGTTGTTTTGTCTATACCCAGCAAGCAATTTTGCGTTTAAAAGACGTCTATTCGCCGTCTAAACACAGCCCAGACTCACTGAATGAATCAGCCATTTGAATTAATGATTTAATATCTTATTCTAAAGACTTACCGCCACCTACTGGCTTTTTTACTTTCATATTGTTGTTATGTATAACTTTATGTATTTGAAACATTAATATGATAGTGTTAGGCAATTATATATGTAGCTATGCAAATAAACACAACACAATAAATCATTGTGTATATCAAATGTAACTGTAATTGTCTACTCTGTAGCACTATTGTTTTCAATGCAAAAACATTACATTAATTCAAAATTAATTTACCGATTTACTCATTTAACGTTAACGGATCGCCAGGTAGGCGTACAGCAGTGACAGGCAGACACATATAAAGGAGTCCTGTATGGAAAGATGTTTCCCAGCCAACACTTGTCCATTTTCACCCGTACACAAGTGAACAGAACACTGAGCATCGGCAGTAATGAGGCGTGTGGGAGTGACGTCACCGCCCCTCTTCATCTGATTGGCTGAGGAGGAGCTGTCAATCTAGAACTAGTGGACCAATGATGATGTTTTAGCCCTCCCTGATTTACATGAAACTCTAGCCGCAACATTTGGAAGAAGAAGCTCAGAACGTGGAAACGAGCGAAGGGAAAAGCACCATAAGCATACAAAAAAAAAATAAAAATGTGCAGAAAATGTCTGAGAGCACAAAAAACAGACATATAACCAAGGAAAACATGATTTTGTCTGCAATTCGGATAATTTTGCATTAATATTTCAGTGCTGTGCAATATGATTTTAAATGTGTTTAAAGTTTTGATTTGTGCTTATTATTATTTTTAAATGTGTTATTAATTTTTTGATTTACACTTATTATTTTTTTGAACCTTGACCACTATTTGCTATTCTGAAAACTTTGCTTTCGTTTTTTTAATTTTGTGCAATATAATTTTACTTGCGTTTTTAAATGTTGGTTTCACGCTTGTTAATTTTTTAAATCCGTGACTGCAATACATTTGGCGGGAAAATGATCCCATACGAGAGCCACTGAAAAACTACAGAAAAGTAAAACTACTTCACTTTAGCATTACTGGCCACGAGTAGCCTACTAAGGAGAGATCACACATCAGCTGCTCAAAAAATGTGTCAGTGAGACGAACTGAGCGCGAGCGCAATCCTGTAACAGTCACAGGCGGGAAATAGTGGAGCGCGTGAAGGAGAGATGCACTGTTCAAGGTCTCCATTAATTCCTGCTTGTAGCAATTTAATGTGTATATATTTTGAAAGCATTGAATCGCTATATAAATCGCGATTCATTCGATTCTTAGCGTTTTAAATCGATTACTGTCCGAAATCGGCGATTCACGAAAATGTGTTTAAAGTTTTGATTTGTGCTTATTTTTTTAAATGCGTTATTACATTTTTGATTTTCACTTATTATTTTTTGATCAGTGACCATTGTTTGCTATTCTGAAAACTTTGCTTTCATTTTTACATTTTGTGCAATATAATTTTATTTGCGTTTTTTAATTTTGGTTTCACGCTTGTTATTTCACGCTTGTGACTGCAATACATTTGGCAGGAATATGATCCCATAAGGATTAAATAAGATTTGTGGATGCAAATAAACTAATGTTTTATTTTATTACCGAACTTAAACTACAGTATACTAAAACACCAACTGATGTAGCCTGTGTGAATGTATGGTGACAAATAGAATAAATATACAACATAAAACCAACGTCATGTGTACATTTTAAGAAGATGCACAACACAGGCTACTAAAGTTTCTCGCGGTCAGTCGCGCGCAACTCTGAGGTTCTCGGCTCATTTTGAGTCATGAACAATTCAGTGAATCACTCACTAGAGACTCGCTCCGACCGGATCATTTAATCAGTGAGTCGTGGACTCGAGAACCGAATGAATTGTTCAGTGTGATTTGTGAACCGACTCAGGTTGACTGAAAAGAATCGTCTCGTTCACGAATCGGACAATTTAACTGAATTAAAACAGTGTCAATTATGATAAAAAAGGAGACAGAGGGAGTTTATATTGTATTTATATTGTTTTCACTACATATCGCTTCAAAGCAGATTTGTGTGTCTGAATGTCAGTCTTGTTACAGAAATGATGCTTTAATAATGTCTTTGAGCTCATATGAATCTGCATAAGGTGTTTGAGAGGAATCAAGACTCATGTTCATATGGCAATGATAATAAACAGCTCTATGATATGAGTAACACAGTAATGAATTCAGTGAACAGTGACTGTCCTTAAGGTTAACGGACTGTTAATGAAGGTTAAAGCAGCTGAAAGTGTTTTACTGATCTGTCCGTCCATAAACAACATTAAACACATCCACAGCAGGGGTGTATTCCAGAAAGGAGGTTCAATAAACACGGAGTTAAAACTTGAACTGAGTTTTTCGGTTTCTGAACAGAGTTAGTTCAATCCACTCTGAGTAGGTTGACTGAGTTTAGCGCGTGCACCATGACTATGAGAAGCCATGATCAATGGTGCTCCGAAATTACGATTCACCATGGCAACAGCTCCCGCCAAAAACACTTCAGCATACTACGGAATACGTGACTTTAATTGTAGGTGAAAACTGGCAGAAAGGTCATTTATTGAACTAATATTCATTTTCATGGTATCCCACGGGCAAAAAATAGTTAATGCTTTTCCACATAATTAAATGTTCTCTAATCCAACATGCTACATTTCTTGATTAGGGCAATGAAAAACATTTGACTTCTATTCAGAAGCCAACAGCAAGAACTTAACTATGAACTACTCTATGAACTTAACCTGGGCAGGATCAGGTTTTCTTCGGTAAACCCAGTTTCTTACAGTCTCCTCCCACTTTTTAAAGTGATGTTTAAATACCTCATTCATTCATTCATGCTGCAAAAATGC